GAGGAGAGGGGTCCAGCGCGACTCCCGGGGTGCTGGCCCAGAACTCAAGACAAATGTCCAATAGCTGCTTGTTGAAAATTCTTTATTCTTATCCAGACTGAGATGCTCTTAGGGCAAAGACTCCTATGCTTTTGGGACTCTAACCATACAGCGGTACCTCAGTTCATGAGCTCAATTCTTTCCACGATTCTGGTCACAGAATTAATTCCACGATTAAGTTCGTTAACCGAGGCACCACTGTATTTTGTCCATAGGCTCTGATCTCTCTGACTCTGTCTGCTGGTGAGTGTGAAGGCTGAGGAGTATCGGAGTCTGATAAGTGCTGGTTAGAGTTATCAGATGAAATAGGGGACAACCCATTAAATTTGAAATTCTCAGTTTAAAAAATCAGTATTTTAAAATACAAGTATAACCTGTGCAATATTTGTGACAGGCTTGCGGGAGAAAAGTCATTGTTTATATAAAACTTAAATTTAATTGGGGACCTTGTATTTTAATTTGGTAAATCTGGCAACCCTCGTTTTGAGGTGTGCATGCGTGTGTGGGTCTCTGTGTGTGTAAGTATAGTAGTGTAAGTATAGTAGATAATAGGAATAGAGTTGTACAGAAATAGTGGGATATTCAAAAGATTAAAATGATCTTAAGAGGGGTTGGGGATTTAGCTCACTGGTTCTGCTGCCTGCATCTCACAAGCACAAGGACCCGAGTTCAATCCCCAGAACCCCCCCACCCCCAAAAATCAAAACAAATGAGATCTTGGGGCTGAGGATTTGGCTCAGTGGTTCTGTCGCCTGCCTCTCAAGCATAAGAACCTGAGTTTGATCCCTGGTATCCCTCCAAAAAATGATCTTAAGAGCCTTCATTTTCACAGAGGAGACGGGCAAGGTACAAGAAACAAAAAAAAAAAAAAATGAGTCACATTAAAGGAGGCACGGGACAGAGTGACTTGCAAGATACCTGAGGTCGCTAGCTCCCTCCGTGGAATGCACCCAGGTTTCCTCTTCTGAAGTGAATTGTCACACCTGACGGAGTGAAGAAGGAAACTAAAGTAACAAAAAAAAAAAAAAAAAAAAAATGAGTCACATTAAAGGAGGCACGGGACAGAGTGACTTGCAAGATACCTGAGGTCGCTAGCTCCCTCCGTGGAATGCACCCAGGTTTCCTCTTCTGAAGTGAATTGTCACACCTGACGGAGTGACTTCCCCAGTGTGACCTACGTGAGCTGCTTAGCACGAGGATTTTGTGACCAGAAGTTCTGGCAGCAGTGTGGCTTTGAGCAAATCTGTTTCTTCCATGTAAAATGAAATTAGTAAGACCTGTCTCGGAGCATCCTTTCAAAATTAAATGAAAGGATGTGCATAAATGTCTTGAGAGGATTATTATTTTCACACAGCAATAGTAACTTACCTTCAGAATCCACTTTTGTGTTTTCACAGCCTCTTAAAAAATTATATCTTCACAAAAACTGTATGACATGTATCGAATAAATTTAACTGTTTTCATAATATGGGTTTTTAAAAAAGAACATTAACCGGCTTGGCTAAAGTCACAGCAAGGTGATTACTTAGAACATGAACTGTGATTTTTTTTTTTTTTTTAACTGATAGATGCTAGAACTGGAAATGGGTGTTTTCCAATTCTTGGTGCTAGGAAATGTGAGGGTTCTGCTGACGTCTAATGTGTGAGGCCTAGGATGCTCCAGGCTGTGTACATAAAGTGCAAGACAGTACTGGCCTCAGCTCTCAGTAGCTCCCCTCTGAAAAACATGAATTTTCCTGTCCCTAGCAGTTGAAGAAACAGAGACCTAGAGATTAAAGGACAGATATTTCACACCTTTTCACATGGGAAGTGGTCAAAACCTGCTTGTTGATGGAAAGCTTCTAGAAGGGAAATAGAGTCCATTAAGGGAACTTTGATTCCTGTACCTAGAGAAAAATGGCAGAAGTGGGATTCGAACCGAAGTCCCTGGGATTCCACAGCCACTACCGATCTCCGGAAGAAATTTAGAACCGTCCTTAGAGGGATTGGCACCCCAAATCCCCAGTCCTGATTAACTCTGGAGATCAGGCCTGGGGCTGAAAGGCGTGAAACCACCCCCTTCCCTTTGGGCTGTGGGGGGTCGCCCAAACTTCCCTTTATAGCTTTTATTCCTCCCAAAGTAGCTGCAAAGAGGACGTGAGGTGAATATTAAAAGCCCCAGGCCAGAGGACTTATTTCCCTCCACCCCAGCCGGGCCGTGGAACTTCAAAGCCAAAGGAAGCGCGTGCGGGCTGGGAGGAGGTGTAAATTTCTGCAGCCCCTCTGAGCTGCGAACACGTTTGGATCTGGCCCGGCTCTCTCCAGGTGTCCGCGGCCCTGCGCCCCGCCCCTCCGCTCCCGGCTTTCATGTGGATCAAGGCCCGGAAGATGACAAGCCTCCTGACGGATAGATACACTACGACTTCGCTGATGATTTATTGGCTTTCTGCACCTGACGGGAACCACCAGGTCTATCTGAGGAAGGAAATATATGGGCTTTCCTGACTCCGAGTGGCGGCCCTGGGGCGAGCACGTGATGTCAAGCTGGGCCAGGGAAAGCAGAGCTGTGCACCGGCCTGTGTCTTGTAAGCTGGCCCAGGTCATAAAAGTGTCAACAGGCGATATATTTCTGCGGGGGATCTTCTCAGGGTTCTGGCCAGCGCCTTCTCTCCTGTAGCTGGCAGCCAAGTTGCTGGAGGCCGAAGTAGGTGGTGTCCCGAGGTCCCCGCCCACTGCAGGAGTAGGGGCTGGCGCGCTCCTGACCCTTAACCTTCACCAGGGCAGGCTGTCACATAACAGGCCGGTCTTGGGCACAGTGTGTGGCTGAGGGTGGAGGCCCTGAGCCTGGACAAGCTGATCCCTGTCAGACAACTGCGTGAGAATGCTGGACCCGTTATTGCTCAGGAAAGGAAGGATCGTGAGCAAGTTATTCATCCCTGTGCGCCTGCTTTCTCATCTCTGATAATAAAAAAGTGGGAAATACTAAAATGAAAAGGACAGTGATCCACACTGAGAATGGTGGCAGTGATGGGTGGATTTAGAAAGCGAAGTCCTACCCCTATTCTGAAGGATGAACGTGGAAGGAAAAGGGGCAGAAGACCCCAGAAAAGGAGAAGGGGAGGGGCGGAGACGGGGCTGGCAGCTTATTCTTTTCCTACTACCAAGTGGGAAGACCCTCAAAGGCCTCCTGTACAACAGTGCTGTTTGTCCAAGAGAAAGCAGTGGCTGTGATACGGGATGATGGGATCTTTGGTCCAGCAATGGCAGAAACAAGACCAGGCCAAGTATTGAAAAGATGCACACATTGGCACCGGTGAAGCTCTACTGGGAAGAGGGATTTCAGATGAAATTGCAAGGCCTTGGCTGAAAGGAGTCAACAGTTAGTTGAGAGAGTGTCCTTGCCACTGCCCCCAAAGCAAAGAGAGCGGCAGGGTTGTATTGATTTGCTAGGGTGGGTTAAAGTCTGATAATTTCCACCGGCTAGGGGCATGGTTCAAAAGAAGTTTCTTCTTGTAATGCTCTTGGGCACCTGGGTAGTAGTCACTCTCAACTGTTCTAGAGATCATTGAGGTTTTGTGCATCTGCTGCCATCACCCTGTGCAAAACATCGTGGCCTTGTACTTTGTGGCTGCCAGATAGGCAGTTTTGCTCGGGAACTGCTGCTTACTCTCAACAGTTGGAGTCATCATTCTGTGTAAACATTCATCTTGCCCTGATGGGGCTGAAGGACTTTTAGAGTTTGAGCTGAGAGTGGAGAGGAAATGTATGTCAGTTCCAACAGGCAATAGGTCAAGTTAATCCTGTACCGCGGTGTTCAATAAAAACACTGTTTGAATGGCCAACGTGGATACAGGGATAGCCCAGTAGAGTCTGACTTGAGGTTAAGATAACAAAGGCGATAGGCACAGTATGACGACAGAGTAGCCACATGTTTGTCCTATTTCAGTCATCTCAGATAGCTGTAGGCTCAAGTGAAGTAGTGTTTCAGGAAAGTAGCCCTTTAACTTTCTGTGATGTAACCCAGGCAGCCGTCATGGTCTACATGTCCGAGGTGTTCATGCAGATCCCAGTGGTGACTCCAAAGCCGGTGCAAAACGAACGGAGCTAGAAAGGCTTATTTCGATTTTTTTCCCTTGGTGGTAATTTCTCCTCGTGTGTAAACTTTCTGTTTCTGTATTTTATCAGAGGCTCATGGCAGGTTTGTTGAATCATGCTGTGCTACACAGGGTAATAGTTTATTAAGCCCAGGTTTCTTTGTTATCCCAGCTTTCTTGTGATGCTCCCTACCCTCAACTGAACCAACTTCCCATAAACATCTTTGTCCTCGCTGCATATATTTCTGGACCACACCATCGAAACCCAATCACGTACTGTATATATCCTTGTTCTCTAATTTCCACCCCTCCTAATTTGGCAAAATATTAAACTAGTATATGTGGCCGGGTGTCTTTGCAGGTGAAGATGATATGTACTTTGTTTCTTGTCTAGAAGCAGATTCCAGATCGCCCTGAAAGGATTTATATTTTTCCCTTGGGGGGAATAAAGGTAATTTAATAGTTTTTCTGGGTTAGGTTGACATGGAAGTCCATGTCCTGATCTAGGGCAATATGAGAATCTTCTGCTGCTGGAGCGAGGCTACAAGTCCCTAAGGCCACTGGGATGCCACTCCAGAATCGGTGTTCAAAGCATCATCAAGTGTCAAGATTCAAGGCACAGCCACCCAATCCAATACTAAGACTGGTATCTTTCAGTTTTAAGTCTTCAACATTCTCAGACGATCCCATGGGAAGATTAGGACAAGCACGAAGACATGCATGGGCAGAGAAGGCCTCAACAAATAAGAGGTTAAACTGCCCACAACACAGGGGGTATTTCAGCCCCCACTGGTTCCCTCAGCTGCAGGGCACCCTTGTACAGGGGTCAGCGTGCATAGCCTTGTGGGAAGTGTAGTCTTCAAATTGTTCTTCTGTGATCTGCCTCCCCCACTACAGACCCCCGAAGTCCAGAGCTGTGGGGTCCCCCCACTCTGCTGTCCATGAGCTGTGTGATTTGAGGCTGATGAGTTAATCTTCTCGAGTTACTTTCCCCTTTTGTAATTGTCCATGCTTTACAGGTCTGTATCTGTGTCAAAGAAAGAAACAATAAATACTTTTAGATTCTGTAATAAATGAATGACCAGCTTTCATTGGTTCCACCGATGGCTGTCTAGAGTCAGTGCAGACCTCCCTTGACTCCAACTGTTGCCAAAAGACAGTAATGAAGAATATTACAGTTCCTAATTCAGGTCAGGACCACAAAGATCGAGATCCTGAATCGTCTCCTGGTTTCAAAAGTACACAGTGAAGCTAAAACTTCAAGACTTTTGCGTGTTGGTTGGTTTAATGCTGTGTAAAAGCCAAGGCCTTGCAAATGCTAGGCAAATGCTCTACCAGTGAGCTACAACCTTGGCCCTCAGTCTTTAAAACATTGATCCATTTTGGCTTTTTCATATTCAACTGCTATTTTAGACATTTTCCACCAGGGGGCGGGACTCACAAGGATTAAAAATACTCAAAACAAAGCAAAACTTTTAATGAGAAGGCCAGTCTGTAGTTTGGATTTTGGGGAGGAATCCAGGAAATGTGAATATACTTCCTGTTTGTCCATTGCTGCTGTACTTAGAAATACTTATATCAGGGCCGGGGATTTAACTCAGTGGCACCATGCCTGCCTCACTAGCACAAGGACCTGAGTTCAATTCCCAGTTAACCGCCCTCCCCAAAAAAGAAAAAGAAGAAGAAGAAGAAGAAAAAAAAATACTCATATCGGAGCAAAGTTATTCTGTAAAGGACCAAATTGTAAATATTTTGGGATATGTAGGCCATGCATACAGTCTCTGTCTCAACTAATCTTGTTGGTACAGTGTACAAGCAATCATAAAAAATACTAAAACAAATGGGTATAGCTATGTTCCAACAAAACTTTATTTACAAAATCAATAGGACAGATTTGATCCACTGACTATAGCTGGCAGACCTCTGCTTTTTACCATTTGTGCTTTTGATATTATTTTTTCCCTCAGGGATGGAACTAGCTGTAACTAAATATCCACCCTAGTTCCTAGCCAACCCCAAGTAAGAGGTTTTGGTGTAGAGGGACAGAGGGGCTCACTAAGAGACTAAGCCAACTAGATATCCATAGTGATGCCAGGAAATAGACGAGACTGATATAATGTACACCTCTAGCAAAATGCTTGGCCTGCAAGTGGCATTTTACTTTCTGAATAAATAACTGATTAACTGATTTCTGGGAATGTGAGTTTACTTTTTAGTTGTTCCAGAGTACTTTGGGTCTCCAGGTCAATCACCAATCTTAATATCTCACCCACAACCAATTTTCTTTACCAAAATCAGGAGTAACATTAGCCAAAAAGTCAAAGTGGCTATTTTCTGATCATGTCAAATATTACCTCAACTTACCAAAACGCCTGGGACAAATGTGACCCCCCAGAATACTGAATCTCCTGATGTTTCCCCAGAGGCCTTTCCTGAATCAAGCCTTCCTGTCTTCTCTGGCACTAGCCATGGTGAATCAGTGATCTTGATAATGTCTCAGGTGAAGGAAAGGTCAGCCCGTGTCTGAGCATTTGGAACATCTTGCTCTTGTGGCCCCACTGGTCAGTCCTGCAAAGCTCATTTGATGACTGATCCCAGCTTGGAACTGAGAAGAAAGGGCCTGAGCAGAATAACGAGGTCTTCTCTGACTTATGGTCTTCTCTGACTCCTCCATCGCCTTTGTCTGAAAGGAGTGTCTAGCTTGAAGGCTGGTCATGCAGACAAATGTCCGGCTAACACTACTTATCTGCCATGACTTACCATCTGTGGCTTGACATGTTCTACACACATGGCGTGTCGTACACACTAAGACATGTTTCTTGTATCCAAAGGTATTCCCAGATTAAGGGCATTTTCCCGAACCAAACTGAAGAATGAATCAAGGGATTCAAGTTAACCTCAGCATCCACAGGTGTAGGGGAGGTATGAGATATTTTCTTTGCTTTAAGGTTCTACCCCTGATTTAAAGGACAACAGTATTTATACAGAGGGCCCAAGTCATGCCCGAGGGAGAGTTCGCTGTCTGTATAGTGGGTGACTGTTGCCTCCCTAATTGACACTGGCTGATGTCCTGGCCTATGCCTGCCTCTCTCCTTCCCCATCCACATGGGGAAAGGCAGCAGGCCGTAGCTCACGGCTCACCTGGAACGCCTCTGGTTGCTGAAGGACTTGGTGGAGACTCTGCGACAACCTGATGGATCATCTCATAAACAGAGCCTGCAGGAAGGAAAAGAAAATTATGCCAGCAGAATGCACTTATGAGAAATAGATACGTGCAGTGCAGGGAGAAATGCTTTGATATTAAAATTTTTTGTAACATAAAAAGGCATGAAAAATGATACCGACCGCTAACTAATCAACATTCCTTTGTGAATGCAGCTTCAGTTCCTAACCAAAAACACATCCCTGCTATTGTCTTGTCTGGATCCAGATGCAAACATGATTAATTAAGTCTCAGGCGAAGGGTAGGAGGGGGATGGTCAGGATAGATGGCTCTCTGAGTATTATCCTTTTTATAGGCCTGGGGAGACTCCCTAAGGCTGACTGCCGATTTTCCCTCATGGGACAGGGCTCATCTTCTGTGCACTGGAAGCCACAGGGTGCAGGAGTGGCCTGGACCAAACCCACAGAGTGAGGCCGAAAGACGCTTACCAGGCGGTAAAGAGAGGCTCTTCCCATTGCCTCAGGTCCTGCGCAACCTGCAGAGAAGGAAAAGCACATCAGATGTCTTATTGGGGGACCTGGGATGCACTCTTCCTATTGCTGACAAGCAGTCTGGGACCTCAGGAAAGCTGGCTCAGCTTCTGTCCTAGTAATGAATTGAAGGTGTCCGTCACTTCCTTCTTGCTGAGACACAATACCCAACACCCACAAATAAAGAAGAGGTTTATTGCAGCTCATATCTTTATCCATAGTTGGCTGGCTCTCTGGCAGGGAGGCATGGCAGAAAGGTCTGGCAGAGGAAAGCTGCTCATGTCGCGGCATCCGGGGACCAGAAATTGAAAGGAAGATCCAGGAAGGAAGGTGTTCCCTTCTGGGTCATACCCCCATCGACACAACTCTTCCAACAAGACCCTGCCTCCTAACAGTAAGCCAGCTATCATGTCCCCGTAACCCACACCTTCCAGACACATAAGGCTTTGGGGGCCCTTTAGATCTAAGCCATAACACAAGGGTTAGATTAAATATTCTTTACTAAGTCACTTGCATTTCTAACTTATTTTGGTATCTGCAGTTCCGCACACACAGCAGGTGTCTCCCCATCGATAGCAGGCTAGGTGATGACTGTCGACATTGTACGGAGGAGTTTAGCAGTGGTGGGTGGGGACGAGAAGTGTGCGAGGTGAGCACTCTGACACATGTGGCTGACCCTGGTAGCCCTGAGCAGCATGGCGCACGGGCCAGCAGACCTGGGCCCAACAGAAGAGCGTACAGTGGGTGTCTTCCTGCATGGTGAACAGTCACCTGCATGGGCGAAAGAGTTTTTATAAGGCCAGCTGGACTCCAGGGCGTTGGCAGCACCAGATGTAGCACCAAGAGCTTCTCATCAGGCTTTAATGGAGATTTAAGCCAGAGCCAAGACAAGGGTTTAATGTGCAATTTCACTGAGGGATTTTGGCCTCCTAAGGCCTGCTCTTAAGGCTTGTATCTAGGTGTCCCCTCAGAGCCCCATGTGCTAATATGTGGGGCTTTTTGGAGCTGGCTGGATTTAGGATGTGTGATAATGGCATTAAGGGTGCACAGTACTAAATTAGTCCAACGACTGAAATTAGCATAGTTCTGGGTGGTGCCACCCAAACTGGTAGTCTGGATGGGAGAAAAGGAAAAGGCAGGCTGGCTGCTTGCCACTCACTGCCTTCTACCTGCCATGCCATGAACAGTTTCTCCTCTGTGATGTCATTTTGCTGAGCCAGCCGCTGAGCTATCCATCAGTGGACTAAAGCCCCAACAAACTGCAACCTGAAATAAACATTTCCTCTTTTAACTTTGAGTGTCAGGCATTTTGTCTCAGCAATGAGAAAAGTAACTAAGACACCTACTGATTCCACTCTTCACGTCAGCTGTGAATGGCCAATTTTTTAGAACTCCAAGCATTCCCTCTCAAACACTGGGACAGTGATTTCCCAAATACTTTTTACATCTCCGTGATTTTGTTGCTGGGAAAATCTGTGAAACATGCAGTATTCTCTTATCTAGCTAGAAAATAACTTTAAAAATATTATTTCTAGCTGGGTGTGGTGGCGCATGCCTGTAATCCCAGCACTCAGGAGGCTGAGGCAAGAGGATCACTGTGAGTTCGAGACCAGCCTGGGCTACATAGTGAGTTCCAGGTCAGTCTCAACTACATAGTGAGACCCTGTCTCAAAAAACAACAAAAAAATCATTTCTAATCCATCTTCATGTTTTCAAGAGTGAGCTTATGATATGGAGCGACTGAGAGCGTAGGCAGGAGGCAACTCCTGGGATCCAGAATCAGAATGATTTCCTGATGGGGATGAGCATCACTTGTCATTTCCTGTCTGAAAGTCCAAAAACACGACCATATGAAATGAAGACTGTAGATTACAATCCACCAGAGCAACTTTAGGACACTAAAATGCGTGTGCTGCTATTACGAAGTGCATTCTAGGAGTTATTTACAGTTTCAGACGCAATCGGGTGAAGCAGATCATCTATGGAGGTTTCTGGTTAATCTCAGACTTACACTTTGTGTCGACAAAGATTTAACCCCTATATTGTGCAGGGTACTCCTCTGATGGATGTTTTATTATAAGGGAACCGAGAGAAGGAGGAACCCCCTTGAAAGAACAACATAAGGATGGGCAGATACGAAATTTTGGCTCAGAGCCTGTGTATGACCACCCCCGCAGGTGCATGTCCAGTGCTCTGTGCTCCAGCTGGCCTATGAGGAAGCAGCTTCCAGTCCTTCCTCTTCTTCTAGGTTGGCTCCCACTTCCCTCCAAACCCAAATGTCTCCTCACTTCAGGGTGCTTCTCCTGTACTGGACTTGGCCTTAGAGTTCATGTCTTGGTTTCTCCTGCTGTATGTTCTCAAGGTGTTGGGCTTGGGCTTGTCTTTCTGGCACACTCTTCCTCTTCCCCACTACCAGAAATCTCTGCATAAATTTTCCTTTCACTGAGCTGCTTATCTGCACCTCCAGAACTGGGATATGGACATAGATGGGCCAGGAAAGGGCCCAGGAGGCTCTGGAGTAGAGGGCCTGAGACCACCTTGTTGTTAACCTCTCTGACTTAAGGTTGCACAAATCCTCAAGGTCACACTAGTCTTCAAGGTGTCCCTGGCCCCTCCTGCCCCCACATCACCACCAAATGTGGTCGGCATCTGTACAAGCTTTGAGCCTCCCCGGCCCTGCAGGAGCGCCCTTCCCTCAATAACTGCATATCTGCAGCAGGCAATTAATTTCTCCAGGGTTCAATTTTCTTCCCTATGTGGATGTACTGAGAATCAATTAACATAATAAAGATCTCCCACACTCTCTTGGATACTCCTGGGAACCCTACATGGCAGGCGCATTTCCTGTTTTGTAGATGAGAAAACTGTGCCTGGGGAGGTTGCGCAGAACTTCTCATCACCGAGTGACAACTGAAAGACCAAGAAGAAAGCTCCAGGCCCAGAGCCAAGGTTCTGTAGACAAAGGTCAGAATAAGAAACTACTGTGGAGACCCACTGTGCAAAGCAGGGACTGGCAAATCTCTCCTGTGCAGGGCTTGTTATAAATGGCATCATAGGCTTCCCACCCCATGTGTGACCTTGGTTACATATTCTTTTTCTTTTTTGCACCATGTTTTTTTTTTCCCCACATACAGACCAGAGTTCTCTCCTCACAATATATTATTGCTTTATTGGTGCATTGAATTCCATTGTGTGAACGTGCCATGATTTTTCCCTACTACAGGATTGAGAGATTTGCAGATTTTTAAAGTATTTTTCTATTTAAAATAATGCTACGAGATTCTTCTATCTTTACAAGTACATGTCTGCATCTGCAACATGACTTCCATTTGTGAAGCTCTTAAATTTATCTTTGTTTAAAACTGATAGGTATTGGCTGGGTGTGGTGGCGCATGCCTATAGTCCCAGCAAGCGGGAGGCTGAGGCAGGAGGATCGCGGTGAGTTCGAGACCAGCCTGGGTTACATACTGAGTTCCAGGTCAGCCTCAACTACATAGTGAGACCCTGTCTCAAAACAACAACAACAACAACAAAAATAAATAAATAAATAAATAAATAAATAAATAAATAAATAAATAAAGCAAAACCGATAAGTATTATAAAATTAACCTCCTAAGGATCTGCACCCATGTAGCAGGTGTAAGTAAACATAAGCAAACACCACGTGACATGAAACACTTTCATCTCTGCCGTGCAGGTCGGTGAAGAACGTGTTTCACTTTCACTTGTTTTTAAACTGTGTTTAACTAAGCTTAAATAATTTGATCGTTGAAATGTTTTAAGCCCTTATTCTTGTTGTGCTTTCCTTTTCTTTTAACCCCCCTTTGAAACTGTAAGAACCATGCTTATTCCGTGTACCATAGTTTGCTGTCTTTGGCCTGAAGGAATGAACACGAGATTTGGACTTGGAAATGAACCCAGAATGAGGGTGGCTCATCAGGATATTAATTTTACACTTTGCATTAGAGGCTGTCTTGTTAATGATTGCTCAGTATTCCTAAACGATACTGACTTCTAAAATGTTGTCATCATCATCATTTTTAACTGTGCAATAAAACTGTATAATCAGCATATGTCCCTAAAATATACAATCATTTTCCTTGTAAATTCAAATAACACAAAGGTAAACAATTCATGTTATTGCAACATTGATCTATTTTTAGCACCTAGTAAATAATTCTGATAATTATATAAATTACACCTACACACATCTGTATGTTAAGCTAGTTTTTCACATTTAGGCTGTATCTTAAGAAATTGTATTTTTAAAAAAGCAAACAAAAATCATTAAAAATGATGCTCGAGGCACAAGATCTCTAGAACACTAGATCAGAAGGATGTAGTCCAGGAATAGGACTAATGAAGTTTTGGCAGAACGCAGGTGTACCTTTGAGGACCGCTTGTATACAGGAGGATATCTTGGCTGCATACTGACTGCCTTTAGGGGAGCAGCCCTGCAGCACAAAAACAAACCAAGGCTGAGAAGTAGGTGCCCAGAACTAGGATGCCTGCCCCTCTATCCCATGAGGTGTTGTTTGTTTGTTTTTTGGTACCAGGGATCGAACTTGGGACCTTATGCTTGTGAGGAAGGTGGTGGAACCACTGAGCTAAATCCCCAGCCCTTTGAGGTGTTGACATGTGTAAGAATAGCCAGACATTCTGCTTACTGGAACAGAGAACAGCCAATGGTAAGATAATGAAGAAGAAAATCTTGAGAGTGACTTAGTTTTACAATTTTTCCACAGTGGCTTGGAAATCAATGGATTAGACTTACTTGAATCAATGGACTGGGCTTACTCAAAAGTAATTACATTAACTTTCCTGTACCAATTTGAATGAGGATTCAAGATGAAAAGTAAGGCCAGGTATAGGAAGAATAAACAAAGGTATTTCTTGCCCATCTGTGTTTGTGTTTTGTGAAGGTGATAGTAGATATAATTTATCAAATGCCTACTTTATGCCAAGTACTTTATACATATCATTTCATTTAATCATAACTTTATGATACATAGAGTACTGTTTCCACTCCATAAGACCAAGACGCTAAGCTACCAATCCAAGATCACCTGCTAATCATCAGGAAATCCAGGACTTGTATCTCTATCGACTTGACTCAAAAATATGCCTTTTTAGGACTAGAGGAAAGTTATTTAGCTATTTACAACTTTAACTTTGAAACCATGTGATTATATTGTTACCTATGTAATAATAAATATAATTAAAGTAAAACTGAAACTCATGGTTTTTATGATATAATATCCATATCCATATCCTCCTTGCACAAAAGTAGATTCATATTCAAAGCCACTGAATTCTTTTCATGTGTCCTCTTTATAGCGGTCCATAAAGCACTGACCCCCAAGAACCACACTTTAGCTGGACAACAGAGTTATCCTTTCCTTTCATAAGGATGAACTGGCAGTGCAGGCTGAAAGAGCCTGGAATAAAAGCAAATTAGGAGACTTTCAAGGTATTGGCCCCTTAAAACACCTGAAAGGCCTGCAGTTCCTTCTTCAATTATTACAAATATTTGTTCTTTACTCTAGACTTTGAACAGCTTAGGGACATGAAACAGGAATCCTGGCTGATCCTGTTTACTGGAAGCAGGAGGTAAAATATAACCAGAAAAGATCTTTGTTTTCAGTTCTAGGCTCTCCTCTGACCACTTACCCACCAGCACCATGAGCTTTCTATTAGATTGCTTATGGCCTTTTAGGAAAAAAGATTTCGCCACCTGAGCAAGGAACAGAAAACAGGAAAGTACTGCTCTGATTTAATGAAGCCTTGAGGGTTAGATTTCTCGTAGCATACCCAAACTTTGGAAGCAGGGAAGAAGTTTCCCAAAACTGATGGGAGAAGGAGAGACAAGATGATACCTTTAATCCTTCTGATCCAAAACATTGAACACTGTTCTTCTTGTGCTATGGTGCCAAAGTTCCAATCATGAGATTGTTGATGAGATCTGCCCCAGCCAGCTAAACTGTTACTCTGTGACTTCCCCCAGCTGCGACCTGTAGGAGAAGGAACCTGGAAGACCCTCAAACCCTGAATCGTGAGAGACAAAGAGGCATTTTCTTTTATAAGACAATGTATCACTGTGTCCCCAGATGGCGTCGCAGTGAGGGCCAGCAACTCAGTTTCTCCAAGATGAAGAGTCTAGAGTCTGGAAAACAATAGCTTGGAGAGGAACTGAAGTGAGTGGAGGTTACCCAGGAACCATTAACAGGGGAGAAGCAAATAGGATTAATGATACAGAAGAAATATATCACACAGCAGAGGTGAGACCTCACAGCTCTGCTGACAGTGGCTGGCTAGCCGCCAACTGGTAGGCAAAGTGAAACTAACAACTTTTGTTGCTGGGGTGGGGGGATTTGGAGAGCTGCATCCCAGCCTGAAAGAATCAACAGTTGGAACCAGCAAAGTAAAAGCAGGACACTGCTTCCAGAGTGGCCTTCCACAGTCAACAGTTGGTGAATGACCTTGGTCTAGCTTCTGCGGCCGCAACTGCAGAGCATGAGCCAGTGGGAACCCCACTGTGGGGAAGGGCTGAGGGACTGAGACCAAGATCAGCCCCAGAGTGGATGGGGAAGGACAGCCACAGGAGACTGCCAGCCGTGGGACAGCAGCCTGGGGGGAGTCAAACTGAAAGGCAGGGCTGTTGAGCACACACCTGGCTCCTGTGGTCCGTGGCCGGGTTCAGCCTGGGTTGCACCAGACTGGAAGCTCACGTGGCGCCATGTTCTCACTGTAAGCAGCTCTGTGCCCACCCTCTCTGAGGGCGGGCCACACCCCCTTAGACCTCCAGGGTGAACAAAGATATGCCCTGGCTTGAGCTCTGCTCGTTAACCCTGGACTGAGGAAAAGAACCAAGTGCCCCAAACAGAAAACTTTCTTTTACTATTCTTTATTTGATTGTTATTTTTCCTTTTCTCTTTTACTTTTTTTAATTTTTAAATTCTTTGCTATTTTCCTCCTTTTATACATTTCTCCCCACACTTTTACTCCATTATTTTACTCTTTTTTAAGCATGTCCGTATATGTGTGCATCTCATCCTCTTGTCTTTTTTCCTCCCAATACAGTTTATAGAAAGTGATGCGTTTCTCCCATAACCCTCCAACTTTTATTTATATCACTTCATTTGATTCTTTCCTCTGTATCTTATTCATTCTCAATTTTCTTTCTCTTTCCTCTCCCCTTTTTCATTTGTCTCTCTAACTTTTTCTCTACGTTTATATCAGTCATAGAATCTTTTCCCATACCCATTTCTCACTACCAGTTTTGAAACCCATTTTCCCTGTTACCCTTCTAAGTATATAACATACTCTTACCATCATTAGTATCTCTCCCTCCCTAATTCCTCCTTACCATACCACAGAGGATTTAAAAAACAATTTTTTTTCTCTTCTTCTCCGGACTCTGATATTACCTGGTTCACAATCCCCTGGGCCTTAGATAAAATTACTGTTGAATGCTGTTTTTCTCCATTAGAGAGACACAGCCATCACATTTAGTGTACATTGACTGTAGGTCAAGATTTGGGTCGTTATGGTGGTTTCACTGTAACTGGATTTCTTCTCTAGGCTAAAGGGAGACCCCAAACAGGGTCTCAAGGTATGTGATTTCTCAACTACCACTGATAAATACCGCATGTAGCAGATTAGCCTGTTGCTAATATAGCTTGATTTGATTGCATGGGAATAATTGTGACTCAGTGGGAAGTTCTGTGCCAGTGAACCCATCTGCCAAATCCACCATCACACTCAGGGAAAGGAACCTCAAGAGTTTCTAACCCAAGAACTCAGACTCAATCAGATTCTGCAAGAATGCCCGCAACCTAGCGGAAAGACGTCCAGAGCCAAAGTAAGCCTCAGTAGTGTGGTAGGAATGTCATAGGGGCTATAGGGTGTGAGCGCTCAGACTCTGGCAAAGAAGCTATTTGGGAATCACATATGCAGTGCTTCACTGGAGTATAAATATTCCACATTAGACACCTTATAGTTTAAGTTTTTGTATGTTTCTTGATTTTCTTAGTAATGTGGGTTATGTTCTCTTACGATTTCTTGTGTTTATTTGGTTGCTACTTTTGTGCATTTATTGTCATTGGCTCTGATTTAAAAGGTGTCTAAGTTCTCTCCTTCATGTCCACACCCTATCTAGTTTCTTCACCTCATACTCCTGAGACAATGTTATTAACATATATCTCTATTTTTTAAACTTATAAAATCGTCCCCAGCTTCTAAATTCCCAATATTTAGCTCCCTGGAAGCCACTCCTATCTTCTCTAGTATTGTGCCAAAATCCCCCATGTTAGTTGTTTTGCTCTCATTGCTGAGACAAAATACCTAGCACCCAAAATAAAAAGGGAAGGGGCTTATTTGGATCACAGTTCATAGAGGTTTCAGCCCATAATCTGCTGGCTCCAAGACAGGAATGGCAATCAAGCCTCACAGAGGAGAAGCAACATGGCACACACAAGACAGCATAGGCAACAAGAGGGTTTAACAGCATTTTTCTACCCCTTTTATCTTTTTCAGACTACTAGTATTAGGGCAGTGCCAAACTAATCATTCACATGTAGCGGTTTAGTAATCATACTCCCTGAACCCCAGCATCACACATTCCAGATTCAACTACTTCTGAAAAAGAAAGTCTCATCCCATCTGCATGAGGCTTTGGGGGGACACAAACCACAACATTCCCCACCCTCAGGCTTTGGCTCTTCATATCTAACCTAGCGTATTATTTTCCCTATCAGCAAGTTCTGGCAAACACATTGCTTTCTTCAATTACAAAATAAGTCCCCTGTCTCCCACATCTCACCTTTCCGCCAACAAAATACCCTCTGAAAATTCTCAGTACTAACCCAAGTCAACTAAAAGTACTCCAATAAAATCAGACCCCACGTAAACCTTATCGTCTTATCTACCGCTATACCCCCTACAGACCTCCCCTACTCATCCAACCACCTTCTGTTTTCCTCACCCTCCCTCACCTACCTGATTGCAGAACAACCACAAATAAACTGTCATGGTGTGCATAGAGAACAGACAAAGGGGGAAGAGGAAGTGCAAAGACTATCACATAGAGAAGTGTTGTGAGATTGAATCTATGCATGCTGTTATAGAAAGTATTCTTTTGGCAAAACATAGGGACAGAGGTGAAATCACTTAAAGTAAATAACAGAAGGAATAACACTGACACTGGAAATACAAAGCTGAAAATTATTCACGGGGAGGCAATAGATAAGCCACAAAGTCTCTTCACTTCTTTGGTCCCCAACCTGCCGTAACCTCCATAAAGAGAAAAAAGGTGGAGAAAAAAGAAGGGATCATATATATTTAAAAAGTAGTAGGATGCTTTTTCAACAGATGGTGTCACTGTCGCATGGGAGACCTTGAGGATGTCGTAAAACACAGAAAAGCCACTAAACTTTCAGCCCTTGGAGAAGAAATTGAAAATGCATGTGCAGCAATCTCAATGACTAAACTCACCCAACCAGTAGTGCACCATACTAATAAATGTCTGGAAGCTAATAGCCACCACTTTGAGCATCTCTTGTAGTTGTGGAGGGCAAAGATATCTTGTGTTAATCTCATGATGTCTCAATAAATTTACTATTAAAATATTTATACAAGTTTTTTTTCTGAAATGTGTAAACATTTTTGGCAGACTCTGTCAATGAACAAATAAACAGAGATACACAGAGCAGAATGAGGAAGCAAGAAAATAGATGTCCACAACCCTTATGAAATATCCCAAGATGGAGTAAGGAGTCACAAAGGGAGAATAAAACAAGCAGAAATCTATGAATAGTTCACAGAAGAAGACATATGAAAAGCACAGATAAGTTCAAAGAGCAAATGAACCAAAAGTTCACAGCAATGTCAGTCAATATGCCCATGGTGAATTTGGGGGAAATAGGTAAAGAACTGGACAAGCTAACCTGAACAGTTCAAAATCTGAATAACAGATTCAGCCAAGATATGGAATCCTAGAAAATATGTCAGACAGAAATACCTGAGATAAAAAACTGTATAGAATTCATATACTGCACAAATGACCAATGTGAAGACAGAGTGTCTGATACTGAAGACAAAATGATGAATTACGATAAAGAGCTTAAAAAAGCCAAAAAGAAAATAAGAGAACAGGAGAAGACCATCCAACAGTTATTACATTACAACAAGAGATCAAATATAACACTAATGAAAGTTAGAAGAAAAACTAGAAGATACCACAGATAGATTCCCTAACATGCTTATAAAAATTATTTCCAAATATAAGAAAATACTTTAAAACACAAATAAATGATGCTTATAGAACACCAAGGAATTACTATGAAAGAAGTTCACTAAGGTATATCCTTATTAAATTACCAGAACCATTACCACTCCTCTTCGATATAGTTCTACAAACATTAGCCACAGCAATTACACAAGACAAAGAAATTAAAGCAATAAAGATAGGAAAGAAACAAGTTAAACTGTCATTATTTGCTGACGATATGATACTCTACATTGAAGACCCAAAAAATTCCACCAAAAGACTTCTAGACTTAATTGACACTTTTAGCAGACTAGCTGGATACAAGGTCAACACCCCCAAATCAGTAGCCTTCTTGTACACAAATAACAGACTCACTGAGAGAGAAATTAGGGAAAAAAACTCTCTTCACCATAGCATCCAAAAAAAAATGAAGTATCTAGGAATCAGTCTAATGAAAGAAGCCAAAGACCTCTACACTGAAAACTACAGCACTCTGAAAAAAGAGATTGAAGAGGATATAAGAAAATAGAAAGATATCCCCTGCTCCTGGGTAGGAAGAATCAACATAGTGAAAATGGCCATACTACCAAAACCGCTATACAGACTCAATGCAATGCCAATTGAAATTTCAACACTATATTTCACAGAACTAGAAAGAAGAATCCAAAAATTCATTTGGAACCAGAAGAGACCTGGAATGGCAAAAGCCATCCTAGGCAACAGAGCCATGGCAATGCTATAACTATTCCCAATTTGAAACTATGCTACAAAGCCACTGTGATTAAAAAAAAAAAAAAGCAGCATGGTATTAGCTAAAAACAGACCTGAACATCAGTGGAATAGATTGGGATCTTGTACCTTTACGTGACAGGTCTTGGTTCTCATTTTTTCCCCTTGTCCCTGCCCTCCCTTCACCCCCTCCTGCCTCCCCATTTGCAAACATTTTATTTCCATGTTTTCAT